TGTATGAGGTCGTTTACACAGGGTTGCAAATACAGCCTAGCTCAATTGTCGGAAAAGAAGGACTTTGGGCAAGGGTGTGGACATCCCTGGCAGACCTCTGCTTCCCGAGCAGACAAAGGCATCTTTAGGAAGGTGATGAACCGGCGCGTGAGGGAGAGGCGGAGGTTGGGTGGTAAGGGTCGAGGCTCTTTGTTCTCATCCAGGCTGATGGGCTCCAAATACAAGCCTGAGCCCAGACAAAGCGGCCAAGCTGCTGCAGGACTCTGAGGGTTCCAGCCCACGGCTCGCGACCCCAGAGAGCAGGAGTGGGCGGGACGAGTGAAGCGAGAGGAGGTGCCACATGCTGCCCAGGCGCCCTTTCCCGGCCTCCCAAAACCGCCCGCAGGGAGGCGCGCACCTCTAGTCCCTCCGGGGGAAATAGACCTGGGACGCTCCACATTTGAGGGGTAACATTCCTACTGTGGCCCTTTCCTGGACGCCGCTGGCGGGTGGGCGCTACCCAGGATGCCAGGGAAAAGGAGGCGGTGCAGTCACAGGCGCGGCGGTTGGGCTGGCCCGGCTGGGTTTCGCTTGCACCCTTTTCGGGCTTAGCTACAGTCTCTTCCCTGCTCCCCAGAAAAAACCTGGGGCGGGCGCTTGAGTTAATCACGGGGAAGCGAGGTGCGCCACGGGTCTATCCCCGAGAGCTGGCGGCGAAGATGGAAGAATGAGTGAGGAGACAGGGAAGCCTTTATTGCAGAAATCGAGCCTCTTTAAAAAAAAAAAAAAAAAAATCACTTTTCCTGCTCAGCCTGCAACCGGGCTCCTCCTCCTAAATTAAAACACACCATTACAGGTGTGCGGGGAGAGGCAGAGAGCCCGCTGCTGGCGTCGCGTTTCTACTGGTGCTCCGCAGTGTCCTGGCTGCCGCGGTCGCCACCGGCTCATCCTTGAGACAGTGGAGTTGGCGCGGCCGCGAGCAATGAGAGGGCAGCCAATCCCCTTGAGCACCCTTTCCCTCAGAATAAAACGTTCAACGGAAAAAGCTTGTGACATTAGTTCATGATTTCGTTTTAACTCCCAAATACTGCTTTTGGTGGAGGAATTGACTCATCAAACGATCATTTCATTGACACTTCGTCCAAGCCAAGTGGAGGGGTTTTTTTGTTTTGTTTTGTTTTTTGAGATGAGTAAACTGGAATGGAGGTTTGACTCCAGAGCCCAGGCCAATATTTAAGTGAGGCAAGACCTTTAGGGTGGGAGGTGGGGCGGGGGGTACTGCGTGTCTTGCCAGTGGGCAATAGATTCAATTAAGGGTTTTCCATATTCTTCATATCTTAAAACATCCCCCTAGATTCATATTTAGCTTCCCTGCTATCATTTTTCAATAGACAGGCAATTTCTTTGTCTGTTGGACCTCTCCCTCTCTCAACTGAAGGTCCCATCTAGAGTCAGTGCAGTATTACTCTTATATACAATGTTAAGCAGTCATTTCCTGCAGAAGGAAAAAGAGCACCAGCACAACTTTCCTTCCACCCATCCACATTCTCGTATGTCCACAGGAGTACTAGCAGCATGTTTTATTTATATATATATACATATATATATACACATATATATATATATGTATATATATATATATGGGAATATTTGAGAATAAGTCAAGTAATTATGGAACATTTAAAACTGATATTTCCTCCCATGCAAACCTATTAATTGTCTGGCATGATGACTAGTTAATAAGGTTGAACTCAAAGGGCATTGAGGGTATGAAGTGGTCTATTTTCGACAGAAATCTTTTCTTAATGGGAAAATGTCACTTGTCTCACAAGTGGCCCATGATTTCACTGGCTCTGTGTACTCTTTGGGTGTCATTGGAAATGTGCTAACCTAAGGCTCTTACAGATAATAATATGCGAGTATGCTCATTTAATGAGATAATATATTTGAGAGTGTAACAAACTTTAATATCATACAAATATTTTTTGATTGTTATTCCTTAAAATTTGCCATAAACCACTTTTCTGGTTGACCACAAACGAGATTTCAAATTACTTTTCTTATCATTTGAGATCTTTTAAATTTCATTGTGTACCTTAGGTTGTCTCACCAGTATTAATTCTGAGACTTATGACAGAATTGATTGTGGAGATAAGCATTCATACTTACAGTATCACCATTGTCAGCAAAGTTCCTTCCAGTTTTTCTAGGATAGAACATACTCTTATAAATTATGAAACCCAGAAAATGTACTTTACTTTATGTTATATTTGGAATTCTGCTAAAAACCATAAAGCAGTAAGTTAAGGTAGTACGTCTCTCATTTTTATTTTTAGTTGTTTGACACTTAGGTAATGAAGATACAAAACTGCCTGCTGTTTGTGTTCAGACTTAGTTGGATGCCATTTCTTTTTTAAAAAATGACTTTAAAAATTTTATATTAAGGAAGAAATTTAGCCTAGTCCAAAGGAAACACATTCATTCCAAAATCAAGTCATGAAGAGTTTTCAGTGGAGTTGAATGCAAGGCTTCAGGGACCTAATTTTATGAAACAAAATTAATCATATTTGTTATGTACTGCAGAATTAATAGAATAAATTATAGTGATGCCTGACAACTCAAATTTCAAATAGAAAAAATATTAATAAATATAGTATCATAACTAATGATTAGTTTGTTACTAGTATTGCACTGATTCCATCTAAGTAGGTTTTAAGCTCCACATAAGCAAGAATACTGTAGAACATATATTGCTTTATGCTGCATTATTTCCTTGATGTGTTTTATAATTTTCCCTTTAGAAGTGCATGTTGAATCTTCCTGTATGTAGCCCTATGCAAGAAATGTTTTCAGTGCAGCTGTTTAGCAATCATGTCCGATCTGGAATAAGAAACTGTAGTGGGCGGCAACATTCTTCATGCCTTGCATTCATGGGAAGGAAAATTCTTTTTTAAGACAGAACATTACCAAGGTCACAAGTGAAAACTCTCTTGGGACCCATTTAACTTTATACAAAGAAATTTGCTCCAGAGCCTCAGATTGCACTAAGCCTGGCCTTCTCATATAGGAATTTCATTGACTTCAAGAAGTGTGACTGGTTGTAGCTGTTTTTTATTCAAACTTCTTTCCAGTGATAAAAGTCTGAAATTTGGCTTGTCACCAACCAATTCAATGAAAACAATTCAAAGAGCAGAGTAACATAGTACCATTTCATTAATATAAATCACATTTTTTTTTAAATCTTAGAGGTTCTGAAAAGGCTCCATACAGATAGGTACACCATAACCATCATTTTGCCATGTCAAAAGTATCTACATCGGTAAAGCAATCTTCCACAGATATTTAAAAATGCCAACCTATGTATATTTTTATTTCTCCTATAAAAGTTCGTTGGTGTTGGAATTAATCATTATAACTATAGTAATCTGTGGTTAGAAAAAGATGACAATGATAGGCTGGAAAGATCCCTACCCCTAGAAATAATGAGAGTTTGTGCCATACTCTTAAAGGCATATCTTCAAAACTGTGAAGGTTAACTTCTTTGTATATCTACATTTTCATTCATATGTAGGTATTATCATTAGACATATAATATAAAAATTGACTTCTGGGCCACTGACTAGTAAATTGCTCCCCATGTTTCCTTGCATCCTAAATGACCTCTATAAAATGATTATTACTAGCCATGCATAGGCATGCAAATGTATCATTTTCACAAGTAGGATAGTTTAAATATTAATTTTTACAGAGTACTAAATTTCACAGGAGTAGTTGCATATGACGCTTTGAGTTGCTTCAAATTGGAACTACATGTTTAAAAAAGAATGCAGACAAAAATACCAAACTACAAGCCTCCAATTAGAGAATTCATCTAACAGCTGTTACACATGCAGCGTTTCCATTGATAGTAGGAGAGGATTGCCTACGTAATAAACACAGATTTAGATTTTGTGACTGAGCAAATAGTTATGTTATTTTTTAGTTATATTTTTGAGATTCTGACATTGAAAGTAACATGTAAAGAAATAAATGCAGATACTGAAAGGGCTATGCCATACACAGGTGGCTTTTCAATTCTGAGTCTGGGTTTACATTTATAAAGTACCAAGAAATTAGTCTATTGAACAATGAACTGGTTCAGCTATAAATGTCCTAATAGCATAAATGCTATCAAAGGTATCTGTCACTATTATCATTATCTCCAGCACCCCTGCTACTACCATGATACATGGTATACTTCCTGACACTATTGATTGGAGGGAGTAGCACAGTTAATTCTTTTGATGTAATAGAAAATATCAGTAATAATGGCTACTCAACGAGTTTTCTCTCCACTATAATCTCTGTCTCCCTCCCATCACCAATTATTAGGAAAGTGTCTCTTGTTTTGAGACTCAATGTAATTTTAGAAATTAGCACTTCAATAGTGCTTTATAAATTACTTTCACATACAGAGTCCTACTTAATCCTTGCAAAGTCATTGTACATTAGATAACAGTTATTGCAATTTTCAAGGTAAAATAAGGCCTCGGTGGCCTAGAAAAAAATATTATCCAAGGTCATATAGCCTAACAAGTGATAGAATCACCAACATGTCCAGATCACTTGATATTCCAAGGTCTTCTTACTCCAAAACAAAAGATTTTTCCCTTATGTCTATATGCCTTCTGTGAAAATAAAATACAATCTTGGGAATCACAATTATACAGATGCAGAAGAATTGGCCAAACATCCTGTCCTATTGTCTAAACACAGAGGAGAGGAATTGGCTAAAGGGGAACAGAGCTTTGATGATAATTTTTTTCTTTTAGTACTACAAAAGCCTTTTCCTTTCAAGATTTTTTTTCATCCAGTAACATTTGTTTTTATTGGTTTATGAGGGTTTATATTAGTTTATAACAGTATGTAAGTTTCAGGTGTACAACATTATAATTTAACATCTGTGTACACTATAACACACTCACCACCATAAAATTGACCCCTTTTACGCATTTCACCCTATTACCCCCACCCTTCCACTCTGGTAACCACCAGTCCGTTGTCTGTCATTGATGAGTTTGTTTTTATTTTTTTTTGTTTGTTCATTTTGATTTTTTTATTCCATATAGTATTTGTCTTTCTCAATCTAACTTATTTCACCTAGCATAATACCTTCGTGGTCCGTCCATGTTGTTGCAAATGGCAAGATTTCATCTGTTTGTTTTATGGCTGAGTAGTATTCGTGTGTGTGTGTGTGTGTGTGTGTGTGTGTGTGTGTGTGTGTACATATATATCACATCTTTAGCGATTCATCTGTCAATAAACACTTAGGTTGTTTTCATATCTTGTCTATTTTAAATAATGGACATAAAGGTGCATATATCTTTTTAAATTAGTGTTTTCATAGTCCTTGGATAAATACCCAGAAGTGGAATAGAAGATAATATGGTAGTTCTATTCTTAATTTTTTTAATGGACTGCTATTCTTAATTTTTTTGAAGAACTTCCATATTATTTTCCATATGGGCTGCACCAATTTATAATCCCACCAACAGTGAATGAGGGGTTTCTTTTTACCACATCCTCTCCAACACTTGTTATTTCTTGTCTTTTTGGTAATAGCCATTCCAGCAGGTGTGAGATGATGTGATTCTGATTTGCATTTCCCTAATAATTAGTGATGTTGAACATCTATTCATGTGTCTGTTAGCCGTCTGTATTTCTTCTTTGGGAAATGTCATTCAGCTGTTCTGCCCATTTTTTTAATCAGATTTTTTTCGTTGTTATTGAGTCGTATGAGTACTTTATATATTTTGGATATTAACCCTTTATTGGATGTATAATTTGCAAATATCTTTTCCCATTTGGTAGATTGCCTTGCATTTTGTTGATGGTTTCCTTTGCTGTCAAAGGCTTTTCCTTTATATGAATTGGTTTTATTTCAAAAAGAATAGGTATAAGTAATTCTCCTGATGAAGTCATATTCAATTAATCTTTATAATACCTTTCATCGTGCTCATATCTCTTCTTCTAACATGTAGAAAAAGTTCTATCTAAAATTTGTTACCAGAAATCTAAATCAAGTTATATATTATGCTACTTAGACAAAATGCTTCTTATTTTCACAAAGCTGGCATTTTTATTTTGTTTCAGAGATGGTGAACTGTGTTTGAGTCGATCACTTGTCAATAGTTCCGATAAGATCATTCGAAAGGCTGGCTCTTCAATCTTCCAGCACTCTGTAGAAGGTTGGAAAATCAATTCCTCTTTGGTCCTGGAGATAAGGTGAGTTTCTTTAATAAGGCAGAATACATTTCACACCATGTTTTTGAATACATTGGGCTTGGCAAACTTATATTGAATGCTTGATTTATAGTTTAACTATGAATACTTTAATAAAAGAGTGAACCAGCTCTACCTAATGTTATTCACTGAAGAATATGAAACCATAAAAATGAAATCATGCAGTCAGAAATTTAAGGGTGAATGTGTGAGTTTTGAATATACTGCCTTTATAACTAATGAAATAAGATATTTAGTAGAGTACTAATATTTATATACTTTTCTTTGCTCAGTTACTCAGGATAGACATATATTTTGAGAGTTAGCTTTAACTTCTCTACTAAGTGTTCATACTGATCTTGTGTTTTCTCACACTAGATAGATAAAATAGAGCCTATTTAACTTTTATTTTGCTGACAATTACAAATACAAATTACAAATACGATTACAAATAAATTTAACTTACTCTATCAATGGGTATGTGAGCTTCTGTAATAAAAGTCTTAATAATTTTATCCTCGATAGATAAAAAACAGAAAATAAGCTTTCTAGAGTACTAACTTATTCTTCGTAAGATGTTAGCATTGTAGCTAAACAAGATCTTGAAATCAAACTCAGTGTCTAAATATACCCATTATATCTATTTTCTTCAATTTTACTTTTATTACTAGTAAGAAAGGTAGGGCCAGATCTTCCTAATTATGAAGGAAGAAAGCAAATAATTTTTCCCTATAGTTACATTGTTGTATTGGTTGGTATGTTTAAATCAGAGCATTTTGGTAAATCAGAACTCTTTAAAAGTTCAAGAGAATAACTATCCTTTACATAATAAAATTTTTGCATTTTTCTAGCATTGGCGAAATGCTAATTATTCAATGATTGAATATTAACACACAGATTTTATAAGAGTAGATAATGGTTAAGAGGATAAGCTGCTGATCTATTTAGGTTACTACTAATCACTTCTTAGATCATACTCATAAATAATGTAGAGTGTAAGCAACTTGAAGGAAGAATCTACTACTCTCATCTTTTAAAGTATGCATAGCAATTCATAGAATTCATTGCTGCAAATGCACTCACTACATGTTGAAAGAGTATCTTTAAAGAGATGTGTCAGAGAAATGTAGGGATGGTTAGACTACTTTGTATTAAAACTTTGGAAGTGACTGGAAAGAGAAATAGGAATCAAATCACGGCATTGTCAAGTGGTACTGTGGTTGGTTTTCGTTTAGAGGGAACATTGTATATTTGTAGCTGGAGCGCAAGAACACAAGAATGAGTAGAGTCTGTTGACCAAGTTTATAAATTGGTATATTTGAAGTAGGGACTAGGGGCAGAGGGGTTGGGAGTACCAGATGGGGAAAAAACTTAAAGGCAATATTAAAAATTTGTAGATTCCTTATAAAAGTATAGGTTTTCATATACACTTGAGAAATTGAAAACTTTGACATTCTGGACCTGAATTCCCCTAAGAACTTGTTGTCTGAAGCGAACACTAGCCAAAGTCTCTCTAGTTTAACATTTTTACACCTAGGGCTCCTTTTTCTCTTGGTACCTACCTAGTATCTTCTTTCTTATTTCACACCCTTATACTCACATTTGAATTCAGAAACTCTATAAGAGATGAGATAATTATGAGAAAAAAGCCAAAGTATGTGGGACTAGATGAAGTTATAAATACAGGGTGGTTTAGTTCAGAAGAGAGTAAAGATTCACATTTCTTAAAAGTAGATTATAAAGAAAGAAAAATAAATGATTAAAAAAGGAAATATTTGATCTATAAAGATGTCTTAAAGGCAAACTTTAAAATTGAATGATTGGCAGGAAGTGAGCCAATTAAGTAAAGCTATACAGATCATGTAAAGGAAAGAAATGGAAGAAAGTAAAATGAAATAAATTGTAATAGTTTAATATAGCTAGACATGCTAAATAATATATCAGATAAAGTAAAATCTATTAAGTAAGTTAAATAAGTAACTGGAAATAGTTTAATTAATGTATCTGGCTATGTCTTCCTAGTATCTATACAAGAATTAATACTTTAGATGTGCATGAAACTACAGAAGTATGTTTTGCTATTTTTAAGATATTCAAGCTAAATATATTAAGCAGTTCATTATTGCAACTTTACAGATTAATGAGGGTTGTATTCATATCTTTGAGGGTGATCTATTTTCAATTATAACAGCTGATAATGTGTTTGAAGCATTAGTACTCTTTTCATATGGTTCTCTTTAAGAGATAAAAAAGTAAACAATAAAACAGTGAGCAAATATTGAATAATACATACAAAGTTGTCACTTCCTTACAAGAAAATAATAATTTTTAAAACCATTATTGCACAATGTGCAAACAGTTCATTGAAATTATAATTGCCTATAACATTAGTAACTAGTATTAATCAGTTTGACACCTGTAGTGAAAAATTTAGAATACAGAAATAGTTGATTGTTAGCTTAGCTTTTGTTTTTCTAAGTTATGCTGGGAACTAATCATATTTTTTACTATTTTTTTTCTTTGTTTTTTCCCCACATCGGTAGCATTTATGAAGAATCATATTACTTTGTCTGTGAGTGGGTATGGGCATATTTTACAAGTATTTTCAAAATTCTTCTTTGAAGTTTTCGATTAAGACATTACAACTAATCATTTTTGATCTTACATGATTGAACCATGCTTACATCTCTCTCACTTAAAAAAATCTCATTAAAATTATAATGCTCTTGTGACATTTCTAATAAATTATTTATCTATTTGCATTAGAATGTGAAACAGTCACTGAAGATAAATTGTCTTTTCCTACATTTATAGACATGATTTTCTTTTTACTTATTCTTTTGCCCTATATATACTCTGCTACTTTGATAAGCATATCAAGAATTGATTCATATATATTCATTGAACAACTGTACCTCTGGGGAGTTGTCTAAGAGATATGGTTTCATGTATTAGTTCATTATACTTTGAAGATTCACTGTGATTTAGGGAAGTTTATGCATTCTACAGCTAACTTCACAATTAAAATAATTAGCTTGGTTAAAGGCTTGATTATATTGGTACTCGTTTGTTCTTTATTATTGTAAGCTAAGAAATGACACTTTTAAGATGCATCAGATGTTGTGAGTAAATCTGTAAACATTGTATTGAGACATTATTTGGTCATGCCTAACACTTGTGACTTGACTTTTTCTTTCCATTTTGGGTTGTTTCTTGTCTTTTTCGCCCGCCCCTCCCCCCCCCATATGTTGAATAGAACCTAAAGAATTAACAATACCTAACATGGATGTATGAAAATGCATGAGCTCAAATACTCATCAGAACAGAGTAAGCACATCATAATCAGTCAGCAAAAATATTTTCAACTCTTAGTATCATTATATATCAGAGTTCTTAAACAGATAAGGCTGGCAGGTTAACTAAGCATATTGCAAATTTATATGTACTTACCTGTAAAAAGAAATTTTGCTGTTGCCTGCATTTATTTACTTTATAAAAAGATCCACAAACACTTCTTCTACTTAGTTTGTTCAGTAAGCGACCAGTAGAGCACATCTTTGGTCACAGAGCTTCTTAGTGGCAGAGTCAAGCTACAAAGCTAGGCCTGTCTGCCTGTAAAACTAGAGCTCTTATTAAGAAACAAACTTATTGGAAGACTATATGTTAATACTAAAAATGTATACGATTAAAGCATCTATGAATTACACAGCATTTTTGTTCTAAAATAACAAAATATATATAAGATGTTATTGATCCAAAATTGCCAAATGCTGGGCCAAATATGAAATGGCCATCTGAGGTGTAAATTAAACTAAAAAATGCTTTCCTTCAAGCATTCTGAGATAATTTTGTCTTTTCATTTGGTTGTTTTTAGAATATTTATTTTGATACTAGAATATCTTTCAGTATTGGTTCTGAATACTAGATAACAGTGAGGACTGTCAGCTCAGAAGTCCTAATAAGCTACAGGTTATGTTTTTTAAGATCACTGACTTATAGGGCCTCATGAAAATAATCTTTGAGACAAAAAAAAAAAAAATCATGTGTTTTTTCAGCTTTTTGCAGGCATAACAAAACAGTTGGCATTTCTTAAAACTTTTTTCTTTTTAGTAAACCATGTAGTAATAATTAAATTCAGTGATGACTTTTGCCTGGATTTTTGTCAAAAGTTTTTAAAAACTGATTCCTAATATGAATGTCAACCTAATTTGCTTCTCAACTTGTGATGCATTCCAACTGTAAGATTTGTCTCACAATACTTGCTGGTGGTGTCAACAATGTCATCTAGATTGAATTTCAGTTGCTACAGCACGTATGCTTGTTGTTGACAGGAAACCTACAGAGAAGAAAGAGTGGCACCTGGTGATAGGTTAGCTATATTTAACATTTCACAAGTGAAAACAATGCTTAGTACATTAATTCTCTGAGACTCTACAGCTGTTATTTCGAATGATGGGCAATGTTGAAAGGGAAGTTCTAGTTGAAAATTCAGTTGAAAAGTTTCTGTATAGAATCTATTTTTGTCAGTTTAACAGTCAGTCTAAACCAACCTTTCAGTTTAAGCCAGTGTTGCCTAACAAAAATATGATCTTTATGACTAAGACTTTTAGTCTCACTAAAAGTGAAACATATTTTTGGATTCTTTCAGTCATCTTTATCATGAAAACAGTTGCTGATTTGGTGTATTCTTATCTAATGGGTTTAAAAATTTACATTATGCTTGTAAAATGACAGTTAAAGACATTTAAGGAATCTTTTTGGTTGTTGTTCTTTTAAGTTACACGCAGGAAACGCAACCCCTGCTTTAAATACCTGGTAATAACTTGACTACGTATTAGGAAAACTTGTACAGAAGGACCTTAAATAATGTAGTTTCCATTCAATGTAGTTTTGTTATAACATTGATGAGAAAAAAAAAATATCTATCTATCTATCTATCTATCTATCTATCTATCTATCTATCTATCTATCTATCTATCTATCCGTCTGGGACCATTGCCTGTGTGGAGTTTGCATGTTCTCCCTATGTCTATGTAGATTTTTCTCTGGGTCCTCTGGTTTCCTCCCACAATGCAGAGACATGCACATTAGGTGAACTGGTGTGTCTACCTTGTCCCAATCTGAGTGAGTGTGGATGTGGGTGTGAGTGCACCCCGTGATGGAAGGGTGTCCTGTCTAGAGTGAATGCCTACCTTGTATCCTGAGCTGCCAGGATCCAGTCTGGCTACCCATGATCCTGAACTGGAATAAGTAAGTTAGAAAAGAATTCTCTTACTTGTTTTTATTCATCTTTCTTAAATGTGTGTGTAGCTCGTGTTTATTTCAGTGTTTAATATTTGAAGTGTTTTGGGTCTTTAGAAGTTTGGTGACGTTTTGTGACGAGATATATATTGTAGGAACTTAACTCTCATTTATATCAATTAGCCTGTGGCCAAATCAGTTTTAAGTCTTTTCACTTAAAGTCGCAGTTTCCTAGAACTTATCTATGACATTAGATGAGGAGGGCTTACTAGACCGGTTCAGCCTGCATATTAAACACTAGCTTTTGTTGATTCATGTTTCTTTAGAGCCCAAAAGTTAAACTGAGCTTTCTTTCTATCTCTCTCATTCTGAAGTAATTTGTTTAACTTGCTCTTTTCATTCATATCAATTATCTTCTGAGCAAAAGCATGTCTGTTCTCCTTGGTGATACTTAAAGTGTTATTTCAGTTCAATGTACGTACAAGAGTTTGTCATGCTTCGAATGACATTTAGGTAATTATACTTAAGCATTAGTTTTCTTCTTTCTAAAGTCTGAACAACAACTAGACTTAGTAAATTCACAGAACTTTCTATAGTCCTTTACATCTGTAATCTAAAAAATGCCTACAGCCTGCTAGGGAGAAAAAAAAAGAACTAACCTTTCCTTAACTGTTTCCAAAAAAAATATTAAGCATTGAAGTCACAATATTATTCACTAATAGTCATTATTTTCAATCTTTCTTGCATCCTACATGAAGAATCTTAGCTCAGTTAATTTTTCATGCATGGATTTAAGCCCTAAAAGAGTAACTAAATGTTTGGTTCAATGTAAGAAAAAGAACATACTGGGGACATTCAAGGTTTCCTCCTCCACTCTTTCAGTTTAAAAAAAGCAAATACTACATTAACGATCATTTTGAATTTTGCCTAAAATCTTATATTTTAATATTTTGATTAGTCTATATGAATTGATATTTTTTATTCTGTCTTGGAAGGCACTTTTACTGTTTTTACTGCTCCTATTTAAAAAAATAAATTGTTGGGCCTATAACAGCCTTGGAAGAACATGTATAATAGTATCATCTGCACTTAATAATTATTGTTCTCATTAAGCATATAGGACAATATGATGTCTTTCAAAACTTTTCTGAACTCTAATAGTCTACTTTTTATAATAGTTTTCCCTGAGTGAATAAATTAACGATGTCCTATGATACTCAGGAACTTAAAAGACTTAATGTTTGAAAATACTCTTGCTGTTACCTTTCTAACACAGCAGAGGAGCTATTATTGGAAAGTTCCTCTTGTAATCAGTTGACATACATGTACGTGTTAACTGTTTTCATGAGTATAGGGATTTTCCATTTTGGATTTCCAAGCTAAAGAGTCTTCTTTCAAATCTGGACCTGAAGTTTATTTACTTCATGCTTGCAAACGTCACTAATTGTGAGTTACATCTTTAAATATCTACTGCAACCCCTTCAAATTATGTTCAAAGGAAAATGATAATACCATCTAGTTTGGTGATTTGACCACATCCGTGCAGTCTTTATTTAAAGCCAGCCTTGTCGTTTTCACAGGAAATGAAAAATTTTTGTTGAAATGCAGGTGTCAGGTACTAATTTTTTTCCCCTAAACAAGTAGATAGTTTTAATAAGTATGAACAAAAGTTTCTATGGATTTCTGCTCTTGGTGCTAGTTAACTTTTGTTAAGAATCATATTTGTTTGCTTAACTTAATGAAAGACTTCTGAATTTTCTGCAGTTCAAATGACCTATAGTTACTGATTTCACCAGCGATTCTCTTCTTATATATTCTTTACTTTGTTAAGATGAACTGTTATGGTGCCTGATAGTATTTCTGTTAATTCTTAAATTTCATTTTTAGGGCATTTATACAGGTTTTCCTACACAAAGTCTACTCTTTATGAACCTGATATTTTGAATTTTTGAGAAATTTTTTTCAATATATCCTTTTTCAGAAAGCTGACGGACATATTCCTTGTAAAATCTGGCCAAATAAAGTTTTAAATCACCTGGTTTTCTAATTGGACCACACATTAAACTGGGACCTATTTAATGCAAACCAAAATAAAGAAAACAAAAAGATCTCGGTTATTTTCCATTCCACCTTGCTAGTCATGCTTCTGGCTCACAAGTGTGATTTAGAGAATTGCCCTTTTGGTGGATGATGGGAGAAGGTCATACTTTGTGCTAAGTAATAAAATGTACAAATTGTGATGGAGCTTAAAGAATAATACCACTAAAGGAAAAATATGTCTGTCATATCTTGATAATGGCATTGTTTTTAGCACTCTGAAAATACAAGCTCGTAGTAAGAGCATTTCAGCAAATAATATCCAACTTTCGACCAAAAAGAACTTTCTCAGATTGTTTTTAAATGTTATGTGTTTGGTAGCTTAAAGATCAAGCAATCACCAGACTTTGTAGGCCAGGTTCATAGTTTTTTGTTTTTTTTGTTTTTTGGCAATATAATTCCTTCAAAAATTTATTTAGGCTCCCGGGCTACTTCCTTGTAGTTAGTTCCTGGTGTAAATAAACCCACCTAAAGATTTCTTCTGAACACAGCTCTTCAGTGTTCTGTCTCTCCTCTCATTATTCGGGCCTAACCCTCTTTTTCCTCAATTTAATGGCAGCTACTCTAAAGTCATTTGGATAGACATCCTTCGTTGGGAAGGAAATATCCCTCTTGCTGCTGGGATGGCTCTGATTTATAGTTGCACCTGTTGCTCATTGGAATATTAGAAACATTTGGGAGGTCCCAATTACTAGACCCTCACAGAGTTTAGATTACAGGTCATTGCCAGAGATATTCCCTTCCATCTCATTTTGCAACTTAGCTATTTCGTGCAACAAACATAAAACATGAAAACACTTTTTAACCAATTCTCCAAGAATAACAGGCTTATTAGATATAGAGCATGTTATTGCAGACAACAATTTCATAAGGAGATTTGCTGTATCATGCCAAGGGTCACCAGCTTTCCAGCCAGCTATATCTATTATCTTATTTTCCATCACCTAACTTAGTATATGCATATATGTTTATGCAGCTTCTCATATCTGTTATCAGTTTCTTTATTAGTTATGGGATAGGCTAAGCTTCCATAAAAAAGAAACCTTAAAATACAAGGATCAAACAAGTTGAAAGTTTATTTCTCTCTCATATAGTCATGCACAGGATCCACTCATATACCACTTAAGAAAATTAACTCACATGACCAAAACCAGTGCACTTATGTTTGAAAGTTTGAAAATGTTTTTGTTGAGAACCCATGTGCTCAATTAAAATTTAAAAGATCAAATACTAAAAAAAGTGAAGAAGTCCAGTGTTCTATCTGTTCATCTTTTCCTCTAATGTACTGAGCTTGCTTTCTGAATTTTTGAACTTGGAAGGAAACTTTCATATGAAGATAGTGTTATAGTTTTAACTCTTCTTCAAATAATTATCATATGCACGTGATTTGAACTGTATATCTAAATTTGTTGAAAAGTTTAATCATTTTAATAGAGTTAACTAAGATATAATTCCAAACAATTTTAAGTTAATTCTACTCATCTTAACCAGAAAACATTAAACAAAATAGATGATTGTAGAAAATTAAATCTAGCAGAATATCTAGTTATAAAAAGTCAAGTCATGGCAATTGTATTTTATTTAATAAATTAATTTTTATATATATTTTGGTAGATGGGGGCTATGTTCTCTTCACAAATAGGTATAAATTGAGAAGCTGTGCAAATGATTTTTTAAAAATATACTCTATTCCCTATGAAATCTACTTAATTGGTTTACTTACCACCTCACAATTTAAGATTAATAATTTACCAATTTACATTTTATTATTTGGTACTTTGTAAATGATATCACCAGTTCTTGGATATGTTATCATTAATGGAAAGCTTTGTTTCTATTTCAACTACAGGAAGAACATTCTTCGTTTCCTAGATGCGGAACGAGATGTCTCAGTGGTCAAGAGCAGTTTTAAGCCTGGTGATGTCATACACTATGTGCTTGACAGGCGCCGGACACTAAATATTTCTCAGGATCTACATAGCCTCTTACCTGAAGTTTCACCAATGAAAAATCGCAGATTTAAGACCTGTGCAGTTGTTGGAAATTCTGGCATCCTGCTAGATAGTGAATGTGGAAAGGAGATTGATAGTCACAATTTTGTAATAAGGTAAGCTTTCTACTGTTCCTAAAGATTGTAATTTCTTCAAAGATGTTTAATTTAAAAATATAAAACTGACATAAATGTTTCAATCTAACAATATTAAGGATTATTGAAAGCTCAAGCCAATATGCTTTCTGTGAAGCATCCAAATTTACATTTACCCTAAAATATAAAATTAAAATTATTTTGTCATTAAAAAAAAGATTCACACCGGCATTTTTTGTCAAATGGCAATTTTATTAATTTTAATACTACATAGGAAAACTATTTTTCTTAATATTTCTTCTTCATATTCATTATTTAACATGAATTTATTCACAAATATAAATAATTAATTATTTATATTAGTGCATGAATTAATTCACTTAATTATATTTATAATTATCTTTATATTAAATAAATTCTATTACTTTATTCATAAACATTATAAACATTAATATGCAATGATGTAATAGATGTAAGGTAATTTTACTTTTTAATGATAATTACTTAGATTCTAAGAATATAATTTAGCAAGTTGATATTTGATATATTGGGCCAAATTATCTTCATTATTCTCTATACATGGTATTTGTGTATGTTAGTACTTTTTAGTTTTTGAGTTATTGCACATAATTATACATACTGTTTGTTTTTCATTGATAGTTAACAGATATTTGATGAGTCATGTGCTTGATTAACTTTTAATTAACTGAAAAAAAAAACACAACAGTAGAAATGGGATCATGATGGCATCACAACTATTAGCGATTTTTAATCCCCAATTCATATATCTGGACAGATTTTTTAGCTTGTTTTAGTTCTTTAGAAAAATTTGCTGAATGAATAAAGTATGTATATTGAAATAAGAAATAGTGCAATATAAAGATAAGTAGAAAAGATGCCGATTAGCCATGTTGACAATAACCTGAAGTCTTGAATATGCTGGAATCCAGCCTATCAAAGTAGAGATCTTGAAAACATCTTTTTGATATATAGTCTTAAAAATAAATATCATTAATTATGTAGCTATTAATTATAATACCTATGAAGTGGTAAAAAGGCATTAATTGTTTATAAAACATTAATAGCCAAGAAAAATGATAATGGAACATTATCGGGTAAATATAATTCACAAAAATGAATATAACTACAAACATTATCATCTTACCTTTTCTCACTCAGATGCAGGGTCAGAGATTCATTTGACATCAGTTGAACCTTTAAAAACCTGACCTCTTAAATTGATTGGACTGAGAGAAAAACCCTGTTAACATGTAGATATACAAACAAAATTATATCCAAAAGGAGATAAAAATGTTTGATGAGAGAATGACAATGGAAGTGGAAGTAATGAGCTTCAGACTTTGAAATCTATGTGAAGTATGGTTGTGAAAAAACCATAAAGCTTCTAGAATTTCCAAAGAGACTAAACTCAGAGGACAGGTAAAATAAAAAAGTAAAGACTTTAGAGCGTAATGGAAATTGTTGCAATGTAAAGAAGATAATTTGAAAAATTGATTAATACTGAAGGAATACAGGATCCAAATGTGACTGATTCCTCCTTCCTGCATCCCTCTGTAGCATTAGGGTCTTTATAACGAATGAGGTTTAGTCCCACCTCAGACTCTGAAATTAAGACCTTAATGTTATCTCTCACCTCTATCAGGTCACATAATTATTGTTTCTTTTTTTATGGTGAGAACGGTAAGATCTAGTATTTTGTAACTTTGAAGTTTAGAACACATTATTGTTGACTATAATCACTCTGATTAGATCTCCATAACTTATTAGATCTCAACTTATTTATCTACTTGTTGCAAGTCACTTACTGGTGTTGGAGCATTTGCCAACAGTAGAGTGTTCTTGGGAATAGAACTTCAAGAAATTCTTTATACTTTCCTAAGCTGTGATTATTTTTAAAAATTATTTAACAAGAATGCAATAATGACCAATCCTACAAGTCTATAACTGTGTTATGATCTAACCAAGAAGTATAAAAAGATGAGGATAAGCATCTTAATGAAGGCTGAAAATTACCACCACATATGTTTTTTTTTTTTTCCTTCTATTGTTTCTATTTTCCAAAAATAGAAGTTGGAATGTTCCAGATTAAAGTGCATATTAGGGAAATGTAGCTCAGGATTGAGTTTCTGATTTTCCAAGAAAAATTTTATCAGGAGTCCACTTATCATTAGAAATAATTAATCTTTACAGAAAAAACATCTTTATTGTATAATAGCTACTTGGGGAATTCTGGTCTTCAGTGATGTGTCATCCTTTCTAAACCCTTTTTCTTTGTCATGGCATTCTGGCTCACTGTCTGTGTGCCAGAAACCTTTTCCTGCTCCAAATATGTGTATGCCTTTTGTTTTTGTATATCTGTCTCTTCTACGCTAAAACATCAAGAGTTTTTATTTAAAATTTAATCAAACACCGTTCCTCGAAATAATTTCCCATCTGTATCAAACTGGTTAAAGTTGTTAAAAATTTTAGTAATCTATAGAATCTTTCAAATTTCTCACCTTTTTGGAGATATATTTTGTGTGTATCTGCATAGCTATATAGATAGTTTTGGTTGGTTGTTTGCATATATAGCCTGAGTTCCTAGTTTGATTCCCACTTTTCTTGTAAAACAGTAGGATTGTTAAGAGAGAGATAAATTATGCTTGGTCTGCTTGCTGCAGACACTAATTAGTTCAGTGACCCTGCAATGATCAGATTCATCCAGGTATTATATTCAAATTGACCTCTACCTTTATAAACCAAAGCATTACTTTTAGATAAAATCTCATTCAACATTAATTAGATTATAAACTCTGCCTTTATTGATTTGATACACTTATACACTGCAATATGAACACCTCCATCAGGTCACGTAACTACCATTTCTATTCTGTCATGAGAAAATTTAAGACGACTCTCTTAGCAACTTTCGAGCATGTAGTACAGTATTGTTAACTATAATCACTATGCTATGCATTAGGTCCCCAGAACTTATTCATCTGAGAACTGGAAGTTTGTACCCTGTGACCAATATCTACTAATTTTTCCCACCTTCCAGCCTCTGGTAACCACTATTCTATTCCCCATTTCTACGAGTTTGGCTTTTTTAGATTCCACATATGACTGATATTATGTAGCATTTGTCTTTCTTTGTCTGACTTTTTTCACTTAGCATAATGCCCTCAAGTTCCATTCATGTGGTTGCAAAGGGCAAAAAATAAATAAATAAATATTATTTTAATGTTATTTTTTAGACCTACTTCTTCGAATATTGATAGATGTTTTGAATTCTCTGGATGTGCTACCTTGAAAATGGAGGAAACTGTGACTTCCTTTTATGTGCTTTTGCATCCCTAGGGTAGGCAGCACAGGCCAGGATCTACACAAAAGAATGTTCTGTAAGATGTATAATTTTATCTCCAATATTCTCTTTTTAACTCTCTAGGATAAACATTTTTTTTCTTCAAGTAACATCTATGTCTATGGTGTTGTTAAGTAAAGAGAAGTACAATTCTAGGCCTAACGATAGCTTTATTTTATTAACTAATAAAAAGACATTCTAAATATTCAGTTGACTAAACTTATATCCCTAACAAAAAGGAAAAAAATATATGTGAGTTTAAAATTGTAAAGCACTTTTTTATACCAGTACTTATATGACCAGTAAATTTAGAAGCCTGCACAAATAATTCCCTAAAGTTCTTCTTCCACCCAGGGGCCACATTAATTACAATCCTACCCATTGAAACACATTCGCTTGGTATTATTATTATGGTCATTTAAAATGAAAATAAAATGTTAAAAGGTAAACATTAAATTATTATCACAAAGGTATTAACAGCTTACTATGTTGGTTTATTTATACAACAAAACTTTATCAGTGCTAACCATAGGCCATCATGACTAGAGCACAATAATTCTTATGTGAAAATATAGTAAAGAAATGCATAAAATGTAAAACAAAACTAATGATGAATGTTACCAAAGCACATCTTGTTCGAATTAAATGTCCTGAAAAATTAAATTTGTCACTGCATCCTGATAGCGATGGCCATTGACTAGAAATTCAAATTCTCATTCTCTGATATAAGCAAAAAGACAAACTTTCTCCTGATTTATCAAATATGTATATAGTTGACATTGACTAACACTAGATAATATGAAGTGCAGACATAGTAACACTGCTTGAATAGATGAGTATCTATAAAATTCGGGTACATAAAATTAGAAATAATTGTAGCGAAGATATATATTTATTCATGAAACTAAAGTAATAAGATAAAAATATTTTACTTTATGATGATCTAGCTTCCTAAGAGACGGGATGATATGTTTCACAAAAGAAAAAGATGGAGGAATTGACTCGCTTTGACTGATACAATGAATTTTTATAACTCAATTTTTCATTCAACACTAGTGAGTAATTTATGGCAAACTTTCAATTATTCTCTTGACCATCTATGAATACTAACTCTTTCATAGCAAAATAGACTCTTAGGGAAAAAAAAAAAAATATGCCTGGTTTTCGATGTGTTCATAAAATGGTCTTCCCTAGCCACTCTCACAGAGAATATGTTTGTCACTAACTCAAATGTTTTTAGTTCAAATAACTAAGTTTCTGGTAGGGATCTATCCAGGGAATTCTAACTTATTTTTATTTAATATTTTATTTATATTTTTGATGTATGAAATTTTATAGTTTTTAAAGTAATTATTTTTGTGATTTCTATTGATTTTAACCATAAATTGTATATTTTGGGTAGAAATCAGAATTTCTATTTTATTCTAATTATGTATGATTTTAAAATTTTAACTTAAAACTAAAAATAGAATGTGTTATGGATTGTGTTGTGAGGTAAGGCTTTAGCTTTTTTTTCTTTAATCATGTCACTCTGGATAAAAAGATTTTATTTACAAGAGATAATTTTTTAAAATAGAAATAACAATGACTGATAAACTTTCATATTTTAAAACATTTTTTTAAAATACTCCATTTTCTAAAAATAATATAAACAAATACA